AAAACTTACTTTGTTTTTTTCTTCTGAAAGTTCTTCCACTACTTTTGTAGTTGCAGCTCCTATTACCAAATCTTCATCTTTCTTCTGATTTTCTGTTTCACCATAAATCACATCATATATAGAATTTCAAGACAAACACAGACTGGTTTACAACCTTTGATAAAATGTCTTTAACAGATCATAAATCATTGATTTCAAAACATGAATTAATGGAATTCTGCTTTGTAGAATTGTGTTCAGAACTCGAATGCTGGCAAAATGAATTGTAAAAAAAGCAAAAAGCTTTGTTAAGGTCCGAAGAAAAAAACATAAATATTCGTTCTTCACAGGATAAACTTACAGTAATCGGAAAATGTTTCGTGTGTTGAGCAATTTTTTTTTTATTTTGAGAGAAATTTGTATTAGCTTTACGCTTATATTTTGCAGTATTATTTTGAGAACTGCCAGTTGAATTGTTGAATGATGCAGAAATTACTTTATTTTTCTCAAACCCATTTTTAACAATGGAAGTAGTAACTACATCTTCATTTACTTTAGGTACTTTATAACTTTCAATATAGCCTTTTATCTTAACTCTCGAAGCATTTACTTCTTCTTTAAAAAATGCAAGAAGTGGGTTCCATTGATCGAGGATTCTAGATAAGCATTTCTTTAAAGACAACCAGCGTGTACACACGTTTCAAAATTTTTCTCATTTCAGTATTATGCAGTTGTTGGAACTGTTTCAATTTTTCCTTTCTTTAGAACTCCTTTCAAGATAATAATAATATCAACAATGTGTTTTCATCCACATTTAATGGTAAAGAAGCTGCCCTTTTTTCAGCTGCTAAATTTAAGAGGTGACAGGTGCACCTTATAATCTGCAAATCTGAATTTGCCTTTCTTAAGATGCCTGCAACACCAGTCATCAAGCCTACCATTACTGGTGCATTATCGCACCAAGCGCTAAGCAATTATCCAGAGGGACTGCATTTTATTTTAAAGTTTTAATAATTAGCTGTGGCTATATTAAAGCCTGTCGAATGTCCTTCTAAAGTGGGGACAGAAAGTAAACTGCACTCAATTTTCTGAAGACTCTGGATTAAAAAAGAAACAACAAATTGGATACAGTTTTGAATTGGGTATTATTGCTTCCATCCGTAGAGAGGGCAGAACGGAGCTGTTTTAATGCAATCAATAACTGAAGATTTATTTTTCAAACCCATTTCTTTAACAATTGCACCTGTTTTGGCCCTTGCACTTGAGTATTTCTTAGTGATTTCACTATCGGGAAACATTTTTCTAAAATAAAGCTGCAGCGTGATCCGATGCATTCAGTGGCAGGTTTGTGCTCCAGTAAAAAGGCAGAGAACAGACATTCTGCATTAATCACTTTTTGGTCTTTTGTTTCCCGAAGAAAAATTTAATTTTTTGTTTTTTTTCAAAAACAACTCATGTTGTCCTTGTGTTTATGTGTATGCACATGTTTGAGAACATCTGCCCTTCCACCAAGCGAAATCGAAAAATCGCAACGACAGATGGTACACATCGCAAATTTATTACATTTCCTTGAAGAAATAATGGAAGGAAAGTCAACTGTGTACGATTTTTGAAACGTGCACGAGTATTTCACCTTTCTCGCAGACATATCAAAAGACGATAATTTCTAAAACTATTTCCTAAAGGCACGTGTACTCACACAACTCAGGACAAGATGAATGAAATAGCGAAAGAACATCCAAAGAACGGCCAACGGCCTTGAGCTTGCTTTATGCTCATTGGCTAATACACAGTCCAGTCATATTAATATGACCACCACCTACTTTTGACGTTAACGTTAAACAAGTAATCACAGAAGATAGGTGGCGGCACATTGCAGTGGACGTATATATATATATAAGGGGTCCGAAACAATCATAAAACATTGTAGTCGTTGGTGTACTGTAGAAACGCAGCGATTTATCTGACGTCCAAAAGGGCATGGTCATTGGCTTTCAGACCAAGGGTGAAAGCATTTCAAAACGACTAATTTTGTAAACTGTTTGCATACCACCATGGTAAAAGTATACCGTGCATGGCAAAATGGCATTATCCAAAATCAGCGACGTGGCAAATGTGGTGCACTACTGGCAATAGATCACAGAGGTAAATGACGGCTGCTGCGGAGATGCTTTTAGGGGAATAGACGTGCAACTGTTGAGCAACTGGACCGCCCAGATGAATCAAGGGGCTTCCAACAATGTCTCCTCAACGACGCTTCAGCGAACGTTGCTGGGTATGGGCCTCAGCACCAGATGCCTGGTTAGAAAACCCATGCTGACTGTAGTTCATCGACAATGAAGGCTGGAATTTGCATGCCAGTACCGCAACTGGACGTCCACTGAGTGGCGCGACAGGCGTTTTTTTCCACTGAGGCGTTTTTTTCTGATGAATCACATTTTATGCTCCATTGGACAGTTAGATGTTGATGTATATGGCATGAAACATCGGAAAGTAAACACCCTGCAACAATTTCTGGAAGGGTCCAAGGAGGAAGCATTATGGTCTGGAGGCTGTTTCTGTGGCATTCGCTGGGTGAACTCATCATTAAGGAAGTTTGGCTGTTCGGTAACATTCCTCGTATGCCGTTGTGTGTTGTCCGCTTTAGCGGTAATTCCAAGTTTAATATTATGTACCTTAAGGAAGTCACGATGGATCAAAGGAAATACGCATATGTCCTTGCGAACCATGTCCACTCCTATTGCGTTTCTGCAAAATGACGGCATCCAGCAGCAGGACAATTCGAAGTGTCATACAGCTCGCAGTGTACGTGCGTGTTTCGATGAGCACTAGGATGAGTTTACTGTACTCCCTTGGCCTGCAAACTCCCCGGACTTAAACCCGATCGAGAATCTGTGGGACCACCTCGATCGAGTTTTTCGTGCCATGGATTTTCAACTGTGTAACCTAGCGCAGCTGGTCACTGCACTGGAGTCTGCATGGCTCAACATCCAGTGAACTCCTTCAAGAACCTAATTTACTCTCTTCCTGCACGACTTGCAGCAGTCCACTCTGCGAAAGGCGGTTATTTTGGCTTTTTGTTAGGTGGTCACATTAATATGACTGGACTGTGTATATGCCAGATGACACGCAGTGGAGCCCATTGGAGAACTGGAGAAGGACGTTTCTGGATACGTATGCTGTCAATCACAAAGCAGAAATTCTCATCTGATTCGCAAGGTTTCATTTTAGATATAATCTAGAGAAAATTCAGTTGCTTTGAGACGTCCAAAATCACTTTTTTTTGTTCATATAATGAAGTATTAAGCCAAGTTCCATAAAAATTGTGAGAAATATTAAGAATAAGAAAAAGTCGGGAGAAATATATTGTAAATCGGGTTGGCGGGAGAGCGGTCGAAAATCGGGAGAGTAGGCAACTCTGTAAATGATAAGGTCTCCATTTTATTCTTTCCTTCAAATTGCACATTCATCTTCCAGCTAATGGATATCAGAGTGCTGTGTGTGGTGAAATGTAGATATAAAGTACCTTTTATAATCCACACTTAATTTTCTGAATCATTCCAAAATTTTCAAATATTTTAACTCAATATCTGCAGTGGAAAGCAATGCAAATCATGTGGATGTGTCTGCAGATATTTAAATAAAAATCTGACATAATTTAAGGTCAGCTACCATAATTCACAGTGGTGGTGATGATGATGATGATAGCTGCAGTTTGGAAGGTTTTTGTTATAACAAGCAAAAGGCAAGATTTTCCAATTAATGGAATTAATGAAGAAATCACGAGAAGTAATAACAAAGAAAGATGGTATAGCAGGTTTTTCTTTGCCATGACAAGGCCCCAAACATCTTATAGACAGCAAAATTCATATTATGGTTTTAAATTCAGAAAACATCACTACCAATAGTGAATAAAATGATAAATAAGTGTCTGAGAATTAAGTTTTTGACAGCCAGTTTAAAGGGAGTTCTTGACACAGCAGTTATGGGACTTGAACACTTTTAACTAAAAAAAAAAAAAAAAAAAAAAAACCTTATTTAGATTTATAAAATTAAAGTGTTAGCACAATAAAGGAAACAGCTTAAACAGCTTACATTCAAAGAAAGTTTTAACAAAGCAAATATTTTTTTTAAATTTTGATTCCCTTAATATCATTAAATGCTTCATTATTTTATAAACTATTTATCTTACTTGATTCAAATCATAATCTAAAATTCCACAGTTTTCAGAAATCTGGAATCATCAAAGTCCTCACAATTCTGAATTTCACACTTAGTACTGTATTCTACCAAGTAAGATTTATTTCTGGTTATAGAAAAAAAAATTTTTTGGAAATAAAATACAATACTATAACCCTTTTCAGATCATAAGAAAATTATAAAATGAATATATCAAATACAAACTTACAAATAATTAATATATAAAAAATGTTTCAGTGAAAAATATATTTATTAGCATTCATATACTGCAGGGTTATTTTTGATATAATTTTTCTTAATATAAAACAAAAAGAAATGTATATTGATCTGAAATGTAAGTTAGTTTTTGCTCAAAAATTTCAAAAACAATCATCTTTCTTAAGCTCATAATCATTTATACTCTAATTGAAGCTAACACTGAAATCCCATAATTGATCACACATTATTAAATGATATCCCAGAGTTGCCTTAAAGACAGGCTGCAAATTAAAATAATGAGTGGTGCATATGATCATGTCAATAGTTGTATACTGAAGGACCTAAGCAATAACTTTGAAATGCTCCTTTTAAAATAACAGACTTCAACTAGACTTATTACAAAATAATGGCATAGCACTTGAATATTATCTGCCAAGTCCCTTCCTTTTCAGTGAAACTGGTTAGCATTTATGTACACACAGGATATACTAATATGAAGATCATGGCGAGTTCATGCCACTACCGCCAACTGAACAGAAGAAAAACTGCCAATATTGCATTAAGATTTAGTCACTGCGTGACATGTACAATAAACTTTCAACAATTATGTACTTAAAATTTACCTGATAGCTACATGACTTTTGTTGTTCCTTATCAGCTTGAATTGATTGTGATATTAACTGAGCTATTTCACTATTCTCTGAATTGTTTTCACGACCAATAAGAAAACTAAAAGAGCAAAGAGAACAAATATTATATAACAATATTTTTTAGTATAAAAGTATTGCCTAATGGCAACAAAATTTCAAAATAAATTCAATTTCAGTTGAAAATTAATTTTTAATATTACAATAAAATATGAAGCTTTAAATAATATTTAATTACTTAAAATTTGAAAAATAATGTTTCCAAAGGCATATGTAATTTTTGACAAGATTCAGAATTGATACATGCAATTCTGAAATGTGTAGAAACATAAATATTAAGGTCGTACAGAAATGAATGACACATATGCTGCTACAGAGCGGAACACAATTTATTAACAAAAAACTGATAGTACGAAGTTAGAAATAATCCCCGCTCAATTTAATACACTTCTGCCATCTGGCTGGGAAGTCCCGGAGGATTTTGTTAAACCAGTCTTGTGGGAGTGTTGGTGCACCACCTACGGACAATTGCATGCAATTCAGAAGAAGATTCAACATGGACCTTGACTGCATCCTGCCAAACTCACAGTACCGGTCACTGATGATGGTGCACCTAGGCTCCAGCCAGTCCACGAGGAGAATGTCCTGGACATCCTAGAACACGGTTGCCCTTTGTTTCCACATGTTCAATGACAGCCTAGGCTTCTTGGGAAGTGGGCTTGATGCATGTTTCCACTCCATGGAGCTGTTTCTTTTCGGGAGTGTTGTGCAAAAATAAAGACTCATCCCCCATGACTAGGCGGGAGAAGAAGTCATTCGGATAGGCATAATGTAGTGCAAGAAGTTCTCTGCAGATGTTAACGTGCTTTGCCTTTTTTTTTTTTTTTTGTGGTGTGAGTGCATGAGGCACCCCCTTTGCACACACCTTTGTCATCTCCAAATCACCATGCACAACTGCCTACAATGTTCCTTGCACAAGCCCTGTCTCTTCCTGCATCTTATTAAATGTTAAGCACCTGTTTGCCATGATCAAATCCAACACGACTGCTACATTTGCTGCTGTATGCGATGTTGCTGATCACCCTGCGCTGACACCTTTGGCTGCAGTCTCCACTCCACTGCTGAACTTGGCCAACCAACGGGATATGGTACACCTTGAGGGTGCTTTGTTCCCACAAACCAACACCATGCAACGATGGATCTCACTACCTTGTACCCATTCCTTTCAAAGGAACCAACCTGTTCAACACTGATCGTGATAGTCTCCTTCCACCATTGCTGTCCACGCTCTCAATGATGATGGGAAAAGAGACAGGCGCTGACTTAAATTGTTCTTTCCTGTGGCCAGCACCATCTATGTATTCTGAGTAGCTTTCCCCCACTTAGTATTCCTGTCACATAGTGCAATAGTTTCATTGTGAGAGCTGTTGTGTGAATCATTTCTGTATGATCCAATTACATTCTTAATTATTATTAATTCAGAACAGCATTTATATGCACAACACACAAATTTTCAAATACAGTGTAGTTTAAAAGCGACTCTATTCAGAACTATTTAAGTACTATTCAGACTCAATTCAAGTACAGGCTGTACTTGCTTTCAACTCAGGCTGAGTCCATATGCTTTTTCTATAGACATGATTTATCAGGTATCCCCATAATCACCTTGAAAGCATATATAGCAGTCTCTAAATATTCTTGTTCTTGCACTATAAGAATGGCTTGCTGATGCAAAATTTTGCAATAATGGGCACTTATTGATGATACAACTTTTATAGCCTTGATGAGTACTCTCCTTAAAGTAAAAGCAGTCAAAAATGAAAAGAGCAGTAAAACCATATCACACAGTGACAATCAGATTGCAAAAGTTGTTCATGTACATATTGAAACTTGCAGTATACCACATGCAACACTTCTACGTATTCATTGCTCTATTCTGTCAAAGATGCACCATATCTGACCACAAAATGTTCTAAGACCATGCACTGTTAATGGCTAATCGCACCAAAAACCTGCAAGCAAAATCAATACACTGATGCAAGTCTTGCGGGTGTAGCTTTTGCATCATGTGGATCTTATACAGATATCATTTTAAAATAGAATGCAGAACATTTTGTACTGTTGAACAAGAGATAGACAAATCGTGTGAAACTAAACCAGCACTTAGCTCTTGTCAATCATAACTCAAATTCGGTAATTATCTTTTTTAAACTATTCTAGTACTCATAGGCCTTTTTGGCAAGTTTCTCAAACATAGATTTTCTTGCAGTGCAGCTACTCACTTATAGCATGTCTGATAAAGCAACTTCAATTGATTTTCCTTCTTTAAGGGCATTTTAAAGATCTTCTAATTTAAATAATGGACTTTGACATTGCATGAAAAGTGCGATCTGGTGATTTAAAGTACTATCAATAATCTCAGTTTTCTTTTCCTCATGACTCATACAATGTTCCCATGCTCCATATAACCAAGTTTAAATGAGAAATATGTCATCATCCAGAGCAGGATTTGCATAGGTCTGGATAGGACTAATTTAATTATTGGATCATTTATAAAGAACTGTGATTTTTTGATGATAAATAGAAATATAAATAGAAATAGGACTAATTTAATTATTGGATCATTTATAAAGAACTGTGATTTTTTGATGATAAATAGAAATGAAGCAGCACAAAAACATGAGAAAATTTAATTGAATCAGATAAGCACGATTTTGTTCTACAACCTTTTTGCCATTTATCCAGCAACCAAAAAATTCATTTAAAAAAAAAAAAAAGTCATTGGTTTTATTTGTAAAATTGTCGAGGTGCTGTTTGCCAGCCTCCAAAGTAATGAAATCCATGCTGTTAGAGAATTTTGAAATGACCTAAAGAGATGAAAATCTGAGTAGACAAGGTGAGTACCTATGTGAGATGACATAAAACATCCCAGCCATACTCAATAAGTCTATTTCATATTCATTGAAATGAAGGGCCCAACATTATCATAATGGAAGACAACATCTCTACATTTGGCCAATTTTGGATGCTATGCTATGACTTCTGCTTTCAAAATTACAATTCTGGAAAAATATTTCTTCAAATTTATTGTCTGATTTGGTGGCAACAATTCATAATATGTTATTCATTTGTTGTCCCGCCATACTAAAGTATTACTTCTGGGGAATGCAGCCCCCTTCTTGATGTTACTAAAGGAGGTAACCATTTCTGGTAGCATTACTGAATTGTATCCACTTCTCACCTCTAATAATCAGACATTTAAAAAAATGAGCTTCTTATTTTGTTTCATCAAAGAATCACACGCCAAAACTCAAGTAACCATATTCAGCTTTGTTGTATGAGTACCCATACATCATAGTTATTTACATCAGTCTTCAAATGATCATATATTGCACTTTTCTTTATTTTGTCTATCAGTTGCTTAACTGTATAACATAGATTTTCAGAGACAGCTTTTTTTAATTAATCCTTCTTTACAAAGCATGGTTGTCCAGAGTGGGCATCATCTTCAAAACTGAAATTTCTGTGCTTCTGAAACCACCTTCAAACTTTGTTACTAGAAACAGCACTTTGTACACATATAGCCCAAATTTTATGAGTATTCTAATATTTTTCTCTTTTTTTTTTTAACACAAAAGCGTATAATACGCTGAAAATGAAATTCTGAGTTTTCAATTATTGGCACTATGGTGAAAAAACATTACGCTACAAGTTAAAATTATGCAACATAAGCAGAAATGAGCAAATTCACACATTTGCTTCAATCAAGGTCTCTCCTCAATAGCAGTAACAAAATAATTAGAAGAAAATGCACTATATTTGAAAAATTGCATAATTTTTGGGATGACCCAAAACAACACTTGAATGTAAGTAGTGTGCAATTTTATACGAATGCAAGGTTATTTTCAAATTACTTCACTTTCTGCGAAAAGCAACTATTTAAAATCTGAAGGTTCTCTCCAATTTATGTCATTTCATAGTTGCAGTAGTTCTGAACACTGTTTCAAGTTTCTAAGTGTCATATTTTGGCAAAGTCATGTGTTTTTGCTTGTTTACCTTACAGTCAAATTTTTACATTTTATTGATGGACCTGCTTCAGTTTTTGCAACAGATATCACATTAAGAAACAGAAGACTGTTATTTTAAGTCACCAGAATACTTTGATTAAAAACAATATAGCAAAACTATGTGGACTAAATTTGGGATTATTAATCACGGCCTTATTTTAAAGCCAGCTCGCAAATGAAGTGGGGTTGAACGGGTCTATGAAATTAATTTTTTTTTTCTTCATTTTTATACCTCTGTAACTGTATACAAAATAAAAAGTGGCTGTGTGCAGTGCAACAACTGCCCGCACTTTAATCATTCTTCAGAAGTTTGTCCTTTGAAGCCTAGGTGCATGAAGAGCATTAGACTGCACAGAAGCTCAGATTGCAGTGCTAAGCAATTAAGTACTGTTAAATTATCTAATTGCCTCCAATTAAGATACACCACTAATTACCATAGGTGCCCCAAATTTCCTTTAAATAACCCACTCAAAAGTGAGAATGCAAGGCTGCTTTAGGACAATAGCATCAATTTTGACAAGTAAACCCTCCACAGTTATACCAGATGTATAGTACACAACTGCATCATGAAATAACCATGTTAATACCAGAAATCAGTCAGGGGATTCTGAACTATGTATACTTTGCCAACATCATCATGCTTCTGAAAGAACTGAAGATTATATTCAAAGGTCCACTCTCTCCAGGTGAGAACCTGTCTATTGTCAGGTTGTACATTAAAGTAGGACTCGTCCGTTATGAAGACTTTGCTCCACTCATCTCATTCCTATCTGAGATTCTCTTGGGCTCACTTTCTGTGGGCAGCAGTCTTGTGTCAACGGAACACAAACCTTAAGTCTCTGAGCATTCAAACCCACATGGTGGAGTCAATTTCGAACAGTTCCAAGTCAAAACTCTGGTACCAGTAGCCCTCTGAATGTGCTTTTGTAGGAAAGTAACATTCATAGTGTGGTTTCTTCTGGCCATTAACATTAAATACCGATCATCATTTTGTGTTGCTGCAGGGGAATGACCTTGTCCTGATCTTTGCAGAACATTTCGAGTTTCCAAAACCTGATTTCGTAGTCTGGAAATGAAACTTGGAGAAACTCCTAACGTTTTCCCCTACAATGGATTGTGTTTGACCTGATTCTTAATGACCACCACGCTACAAATTCAGCTATGTCATCTTGCTGAGAAATTGTATTCACTATTACAAAATGTTCAAAGAATGTCAGTTGTTTTTAATCTCCTGCTACAGAAGGAATGCTGCAGGCTGCTTTTAACACCTTATCTAAACGTATAGTTTCCGACGTCACAAACAAAATTTGCATATTCCCGTAAACATTATAATTTTCCTTTTTAACCTCTTTTATTTCATTTTTAAGCTGTCGATTATATGGTTATTGTTTCTTTAGACATCAAAATAAATTGAGGACTATTTTTATACATAGAAATTTTAAATAACATGCACCCAAAGACTGCACTTAGCTCTTGTTTTTAATTCATGTTTTGCTTTTAGTCTCAATCACCTACTTGACAGTTCTGCACAATCCATTAATTCTCAAGTTTGGTGCAACTTGATACTTTTTTTGAAAATTTTAATTTTTTATGAAATTTCTTTCACAATTTAGATATAAAAATTAAGTTACTTTGAAAAAATTATTCATAATAGCTAATAAATATTGTTTGGCTTTGACAGGACCTTGTAGTCCAGGTACCCAGGTGTACAAGCCCATTCCATCAATTAAGCGGGATTACTAAATACAATCTCAAAAATCTCATTTTACAACTCAACTCAAACACTTAATCTGAAAAGCATTGGAAAATGTTGCTGAAAGTGCACAACTACAAACAAGATCCAGCATCTTGATATAGAAATCGATAGGAAACACTCAGCCACTCGGCTTAACAGTTATGATCTATAATATGAACTGGCTCATTCTGGAGTCCATGCGGAAGCTTCTACAGTTTAACAATAACTTCTCAAAAATCAGCGATAAGGCTGTCCAACCTATGAAAAAGCAACTGTTACCAACCCAGCTGAAGAAAAATTGGTAAATTTTTGAAAAAAAAAATATTCATTAAGAAATGAAAATATGTGTTTTGCCCTGATGAGACTCGTTCTATAGGTCAGTACTTGCATTCATGGTAGGAAACAATAAACAGAAAAGTTTTCAACAAAGCACATAGACCACACTGAAACATTCAATAAAAAATAGTTCTGCATTTTTCTTCTATCTATTGTGACGAGACATTTGTACCCATTACTGGTATGAGGAATTAAAAAACAAATGATACTGCATAGAAAAAAAAGTATTCCACGTCTGACAAATTTATGGCCTGGTGAAAATTGGATTTCCTGAGAAAATTTTGGAACATTTCATTGAAACTGTGCTTTTCTTGGATGTGCTCAAATTAATTTGCACACTATTACATATATCTTCACAGAAAAACAAATTTCTGTCTTAAAATTTTGGCCATATGTTTTTCAAACTGTTTAAATACTCTACTGTCAATAGAATGAGACTTGAACTACAAATTCAATAAAACTCACCTCACTAAACCAGATGTATTTCTCAGAACTGAGGCAGCATAAGCTTGTGTAACTCCAACAAGTGATTTCTGGTCAACTTCAATGATTTGGTCATTTACTGCAATTCTATAAAAATTAAAAAAAAAAAAAAAAAAAAAATTAACTCAGCTAATTTAACTATGATTTTAAACAACTTAATGGCTAAGATTTATTTATTTTCAGAATATTTTGCATTTCATGAACTATTTGGTATACAGTTCAGACTTTTAATGAAACAAATTGAGCTCAGTGATTGTTTAATTGTTCCTCATATAACTATTTTCATTCATCAAAAGATTTTATTTTGTCTAAAACATATTTAAAAAATTTTTTTAAAATATAAAGTTTTTCCCCCCTCCTACTTACAACACTTCATAAGTCTGTCATTTATAGCAAACAATAACATAATAGTTCATAATAAAAAATATAAACCTTAAGTAACTTAATACAAAAACAGTAATAAGTAATTCAAGATCACATACCGTATTTTGACGGCATATAACACGCACTTTTTTTCCTAAATTTGGTCTCAAAAAAGTTACCTGCGTCTTATACGTGAAAAACACAGGTTAACTTTCAATACTGAATGCTATTTTCAGCTTAGATAAAGATCTAGACACACATAACTACATGTGTGTGGCCTTCTAAATAAGGGTGCATCTTATATGCCGTCAAATGCGGTAATTCAAATTGCTTAAATTTTTCATAGCAAATAATCATGCTGACACAAACATTTTACAGAGGTTAATATACATACTTGCTTTTTATAATATCTGCATTGCGCTTAATAATTGTTAGGTCTCAAAGCTGCTTATTTCAAAAGCATTATACAATTTGATGTTACTTGCAGCATTAATCAATAAAATTTCCTGCTTCATATGATTTTTTTTCTCTTTTTTCAAGTCACTGCATTTCATACAATTTCAAATCTGGTATACTTAAGAAATGAAAACAGGATAAAAGTAATATTTTTTGTGGATTACAGTGCTATTGTTATAAAATTTAGTGCTGAAAATTTGAAATTAAGTTTTTAATTCTAGCTCCAAAAGCAAAACTTCAAGCATTAGACTGCAAGTGTACTTGTTTAATCAATCACAGCTAAATACACAATAGCTACCTGCCTAAGAGGAATGATGTCTTTGTAGAAAACTTTCTTTAAGGTTCATGAGGACTGTCTGCCTAAGGCAGCCTTTATGGAGGAATTTAAAGGAAATTGGTTCATATTCACATTAAACATGAAAATCATGAAAACAAGCCATGTTCATGAAACAGCCTGTTTGCCTGGGTTTGAGCCTAAGAGAAACTACCAGCATTCAGTGGTTTTAGCCACTTGTCCACTGGTGGGGCAGACTGTCTAAAGAAAACTGACTCTTATTTACATAACACATGAAGAAAATTACAAAAATGTTCATATAACCGACCTGTTCACCAAGATTTGATCCATGTCAAATTACCAATGCTCAGCTGTCTTTACATCAAACGAGAGACTCAGATATTGTGAACACATTTAAGTTGTTCCCCCATTCAGAACTTGAATTTGAAGGAAAAAAAAAAAAAAAAAAGCATTTACAGCAACTGGTTTCAGTAAAATAAAAGAAGCTGAAAGTTACTGAGTAAAATGAATCTGAAACTCACGTTACTAGGCAAATTAATGCGGAAAAAGTCTGCGCTGAAAAAATACTACTTCCAAAACATTGAATTCACAAAAGTTTCTGTAAGCTCTAAAAACTATGCTATCAATTAAAAAAAATAATAATAAAAATACAAGGAACACTTTTTGATGAATGGAAAATTATTACTGGACCTTGATCTATAGAAAAAAGTGCCTTTTGTAATACTGCTTTTTTAACACCTCAAGCACAAAGCATTGATGTTGTATTTGGAAAGAGGAGGGAAATGGTAATCATTTTTAATCGTTAAGGAATGAAATCTCATGCTTGCCAACAGACTTTTATGTCCTGTTACAAGCCATGGAAAGATGTATAAGACAATTCATAGGCAACCAATACATGAAATATATTATAGAAGGTTTAAATATACAACTTACAAAAATACTACCAATTTCTTAATGACATTTTTTTAATATTTCATTTTAATAACAACAGTAATCATAAATACGACCATACATTCTAAAATAAACCCATCATCAGAAGCTTTTGGCAATTAATTAAAACACATACATGTACGTATTCCCAATGTTTAACAATTTTAGATCTTGCTGAAGATGCCAGGAGATAACAAATGCTGGCAGCAAGAATAAGGCGGGGGAAAAAAAACTTATGTGTCAGCAATAATAAAAAAAATTGGAATATAGGAATGAAAGCACCTAGTATCACAGATTAATGATTAAAGCAATACAACAAACGGCACTGATATGGAGCATCAAACAAATTTTTTAATAAACATTTTTACTTATAACGTAATTTAAAATTTGAAGGGTAAATGGAGATATATAAATAAAAAGATTACCAATTTTTTGAAAATCATTCAATGAAATGAATTAATAGATCAATTCTTGAAATATTCCATTAATAATGCAAAGCATAAATAATTTTTTTAATAAAAAACTGTAGAATTTAATTTAACTGACAAATCTGTAGCTCTATCTGGGTAATTATTTGCTGAGTTTTACCTATTTTAAGCATGGCACTTAATTCAGAAATTTAAGGTCTTAGCTACACTAAACAAATCAAATCCTTATGTTACAGACTGAAATATTTGTGACAAGTTTTGCAGAGTAATACTACTTTACAAATTGCAATATTTAAAATTCTTATTTAAATTTATACAAATATAAAAACAATATTTGTAAAAGATGGCTACATATTTTATTTTTGGAACACCCTTTTCTGGTTTGATTGGTTCCATAACAAAGTTTCTCTAAAGGTAGAAAATTTTATGAGAATTATTTCAGCAATGAGTATATAAGAATTTTGAAAATATAAGATTTATCTTAGTGCATAAAGCCTACTAAACTTTTTCTTCTTTCATAAAATTCTCTAAATAATTTTAAGAAACATTATAATTGGAAGTACATGCCTAGAATCTATTTGACAGAACAAAGGCTGAGATCACTTTTGACAAACATCTTGTATAAATATACATCTAGCTTTCTCTGCTGCTTTAATCATTTTTTGAAATGTTTTTATTTCTTCAGAAAGCTATCTGGTTATTAATTATGAAAAAGCATGCAAGCTAACTGCTCAGAAAGAATGCCTTTATGAAAAGTTTTCTATAAGCTCATACTTATTTTACAGACTAGAAAACTAACAAAATATCCCTATGAAATTTTAGCATTAGTTTTTATTGCTTCATTGCTACAAAATTAAATGAATGAATTAGATCTCAATCTAATTCTAAAACAGACAGAAAAGAACTTTTTAAATATTACCTTCCATCTTTATATGCGGCTCCAGAAACAGTAATTGATTTCACAAAAATGCCCAACTTTTCTAATCCAGCATCTGCTCCAACACCCATGCCAATGATACTGAGTCCCAAACCTTCTGGACCTGATAAATAGAAATAAATGTTTTTTAAAAATCATTTCAAGCAAATTTATATTTTACACCAAAGTGTAACCTATTTACAAAAAAGCATTCTATCAATTCCATTAAAAGAAAATTACTTCATATTTTTTATGAAAAAGCAAAGTAATAGAATTCATTCATTTAGTTAATTTTTAATGTATTATACATTCAAATGCCCAAGATAGGAAATTTTTGCATGCTGGAAGAATTATACTATAGCATCAATCTTTTAAGAAAAAGCTTACCATTACAAGAAATAAAAATAAAAATTTTTAACACTGATGTGAAACAAAGTAATTTACAATTGAAAAAAATTGCTTTGTGCAGTTTACCAGGGAAAAAATAAAATTCAAAGTAAGAATCAGCACAAAGAAGCACGAAATTTTATTGCTTGGTATTCTGTTGACCAATATCAAACCAGTGTCATTACAGCAAAATTTGCAATCAGAAGCATATAAAAGCCTATTCTGAGCCCCACCACTCTCTTTTCTGACCAAACATTCTGAATTCCACATACAGGACAACTTCTACTGTAAGTGTTCGCTGTAGCAAGTTTTAAAGTCATTGAACACCGATAGTTTGTTATAGGTTTCGAATACCAGCGAATGGGTTGGCTGCATGGCGTTTTCATGGTTTTCCCCATGGGTAACGTGTAATGGGTGAGCCAGTTTTCCTTAGAAAGTGCTCCACAAAGGCATCCCCCCTTAGGTAGACACTCTCTAGTGCTTTGCCATGATTAACCCCTTAACTGCCACAGGTGTAAATATACGGCTTGCTCAGCTGATGCATCAACTGCCCGGAGCATATATATACACCCTTCTGAAATACTATCATTTGCTTCGTGCAGCTAAAAGTAAAATTATTTGCAAAGCTTTTGAATGCAACACCCCAATGACTTTGATAGAGAATGCGAAGGATGATACTACTTCAGAGAAGAGGAGGGGAGGAACTGGAGAGGGGGATGTTTCTGAAACGGTGAAAGTAATGACTGCACGATTATTGCTTGTGTTTCTATTTGAGTAAAACGTATTTTTTTAATTCTGTGTCTTCCATTTTCGTTCACTGTTTGTAGTAGGTGCCAGGAATAAAATATATAATGGATGTTTCAAATCCACTTATCTTTTTTGAATTATTTTTTTGATGAACTGCTCATGCTTCATTATTGTCACTGAAACTAACGGTTTTGCAGACCAACATTCTGCAAAAGAAAAAAAATCAAGAACAAAATTGTGGCATCCAACCAATTCAGAAAAAGCATATTTTTTTAGGTATACTAATTTTACAATAACACTGAAATCTGATATTAGATTTTACTTGTCTAAAAATAAATTAATCAAAACTCCATTTTTGGATATCTTTTTTATTACTTTCTTATTACACGTTTTTTATTATACAGACATCATTTTTATTATACTTACGTCTTTTTTTATTATACTTTTACTCTAAGCATTAAATTTTGTATTTTCATTTTCCCTTTCATTCTTTAATTTGTGAAAGTAAACAGTTCTTAGACAGAAAAATTTGAGCAATTATTTTTCCCCTAATATATCACATAAGTACACGTGCCTGTGTAAAAAACGGTGGCACCGTCAAGTGAATCTTCTACGTTTTCCGCAGCAGTTAAGAGGTTAAATAAACCAAAACCGAACCAGTGTAACAATTATTCTTTCATATTGCTAAACTGAATTTCAACAAATTTCATCTTTATCTGTGTTACTATTCATATTGAATTTTTCTCAATTAGTTTACTCGTGTAAATTAAAGCAAGTAATGATTCTTATTTGTTCAGATAAGCTTTATTCTTTATAATAATTCATAAAAGTTGAAACTGAACTCTTTCCAAACTTATTTACTTACAAGTTTACCTACAACTAAAACATATTTGTTCTTTTATATTTATGACTGCTATAGAAAAGTTTTGCATAAGTAGAAGTAATTTATTCCTATGTTGGTTTTAAGGCGATAATTTTTTGGGTTTATTCTGTGTGTAATTCAGTTTGTGGACATATGTTTTGTGTATAAATGTTTATTTCCTACACAGAATTGCAGATTTTTCTATTCTGAGTATAACATTTAAACTGTAAAAAATAGCTCAAGTAGAATGGAACATGTGGGCAAATATGATGTTTGCTTATGACTCTCAAGTTGCTTCAGATGGGCCTTCACAACAAATAGCAACTTTTCACATAGTGACATTCTGAAAGATTTAGGAAATTTCATTTTCAAAGCTCTAATGACACATTTTCCTTGAAGCTTCCAGCCTGTTCTAAATCTTACCCATGCCTGCACAACACTATATAAATACAGCTCTGAAAGCTAAGAACAGTTAGTTATCAATCAGCTGCAAGAGTTAGCAGTATCCCTGGAACAAAGGTTGTGTGAAGCAGAGTCTACCTTAATTAAAAGCTTTACTTGCAACTACAGAATTAAATGCTCATCAAATTAAAGCTGCAAGTTTTTTTACCAGAAAAATTTAACCCTTTGATTTTTGGTACATAAAAAAATTTTTTTTGGGAAAAAAATAACTTTACACATAAATAACTAGCCCCTAATACAATGTTATTTCATGGGGGGGGGAAAAAACAGGTAAACTTTTAAGGTAATTCATGACATGGTGGGATACTGCTTGTCCCACCGTGCACCTAGAGCAGTAAAATGGTATCTTTGCCACAGCGTAAATTCTCCTAACATGCTTATCTAAAGTGCTAGTTTTAGCAACCAAATGAATATGCAAGATATAAAAAATGCTTTTGAATAATTATCTAGAAAATATTGATCATATACGCGCAAAATAAAAAATTTTTTCGAAACAAATTTGCATAATTCAAAAAAAAAAAAATCGCTCTCTGTACAACTTTTTAGATATTTTTTAATGATTTCATAATAGATTTTTGAAACAGAGATGATTTTCACTCCAGTACTTTATTTGCTACAGGTTTGAAAAGGAAGATACAGTACACTCCCGATTATCCGCGGAACTGGGTGGCGGGGCCGCTGCGGATAACAAAAATCGCGGATAATCCGAAAAAAGCTAAAAACGGGTATAGCAAAAGAGAAAACGGTCATACCAACTTTGAAAAATCGTTTTATGTACAATAGAACGTAAAAAAAAACAGCATGAAATGTTTAACTAACATTTAATATTTTGTATATCACTCAAAACTAACCTAAAACGCATTTTGTTAATGAAAACAGAAAAGTGCTTTGCATACTTACGAGAGGCGTCAAGGATACACAGAAAAATTAATACGCATGTACTGTTTTAATACTGTAATGTATTATGTAATTACAAAAGCATAACTGTAAAACTACACCTTTTTGATGAAATCAGTCATTTGTGTTTGCTTCTTGCTTTGGAAGCATTTTCTCTTGATCCGAGATTGCATTTTTCGTAGCATAAGTTTCTCGGGCAACTCCGCATCGCGTCATCTGTTCTTCCAAATAGCTCAGCAGTCCTTCGAACTTGTTGCAAAGCCGCTTCATGAGTCGTTCCGCATCTGCACAGTGGGCTCTTCTTCGCCTTCACTTTGCTCTCCTTCATTCTCGGTCTCTCCCCTTGCTTTCTTCATCTTCACAGTTTCGTCATCTGTCAAGCGTTCAAAGCCAGGTTCGTTGAAATCACACTCCAACCAACTCGTTAATGTTTTCAGTATCGGATGTTCTCACCACCTGGAACTGTTTTCACCATATCGGCAAGAGTTGGCCGTGGGCATGTCTACATCTTCATTCTCTTCCTTCACAACTCAAAGGGCTTAGGTTGTTGTTGGCTACAACATTAGGCATGAGTTTTCTCAATGATTTTATGAGGGTTGACGGTTTCACCGAGTCCCATGCAGATGCAATATCGTAGATGCTGCCAAGATTGTGCAGTGTTTCCAAAACTCTTTCAGATCATAACCTTCTTCAGTTTTGGTCATTAGCAGCTTGGTTCGGTATGTTCTCTTCATTGTTGCAATGACTCCTTGGTCCATGGGTTGGATTAGCGCAGTAATGTTTGGAGGGAGAAACTTTGCAAAAATTTGTCCATCAGAAACTTTAGCACGCTTGTTGTTGGGTGAGAAGATGCATTTTCAATCAACAGCACAGCTTTTTCAAGCAGGTTTTTCGATTTAAGATGTTTACACATTTGAAGAACAAAGATTTTTTGAATCCTTCTTGAAAAATGTTTCGGTTCATCCATCCTTTTTTTTTTTTTTTTTTTTGGTTTTTTTTTTTTTTTTTTTTTTTTTTTTTTTTTTTTGGTTAAAGTAATCAACAGGCAAATTTTCTATCCTTGTGCCTTTGAAAGATCTCGTTTTTTTTTTTACTTTCCAATGACAACAAATCTAAGTTTATGTCCACCGGTAGCATTACTGCAAGATATGATAGTGATCCTTTCCTTGCTGCTTTTATGACTCGCCGCTTTACTTTCAATTTCAAATGCTAAAGTGCGAATAGGAAGACATTTCCACAAAAGTCCCGATTTGTTCAAAAGATAGCTCTTCTTTTAAAACAAATTCTTCAAATTCATGGTGGAAATCGTCGGCTCCTTGTCGGTCACCACTAAGTTTCTCCCCATGACGTCCAATTTCTCGAATTCCATGTCGCTGCTTAAAACGAGTCAACCAGCTAGAAGACGCATCAAAATTTCCTTTCAGGCATAACAACTCAAAAAAGGTTTTTGCCTTGTTTTAGAATGTTAAGCACTGTTATTTCCGATATTCTGTAATCAAATTCCATCTGCTGCCTTGTAGCGCCGTTTGCTACTTTGGAAATTAATTCTAGTTTTTGCGCAATCATCAACACAACCTTCTTTCGTTTTCTTGACATTTTAAATCAGCTAACGAAAAACACAAAACCTAAAAAGCACAAGCACTGAACACAATAGAAAGATAAGAAATTAACTCTGGACTGGTTCTGCAAACACTATCAGGCTTAAACTAACAATGGCGAGTGGGAGGAAGTGGACGTGACAGTAAGACGAGAGAGGGCGGTGGAGCGGGCACTGCAAGGGTGAGTAAGAAATCACTTACTCATCAGAGGGGAAGGTTTCGAGAAGGTCTGGGATATTTTTGCTATAAAAAAGCATGATGTTAGCAAATTGAACAGTTCGCTCAGTTTTGTGAACATTTTAATTTTCTTTGCTTTATGCTTGTTAAAAAAAGGGAACTTTGTGCAGCAGGCGCGGATAATCGGGAGTTTACTGTATTTAGAAGGCCGTCATGATTTATATTTCACCTCTCTTTCCTTTGCTTAGGATATTTTTCTATGGTAAATCACACTTACATATCCATTCAGTATTCAATGACATTTCATGTTACAGAGTTATATTTTCATTTCTTTTGGAGAAAATACTAAATATTTTTCAAGTTTTAACATTATTCCAATTTATTTAAAAATATAAATTTGCATTATCAACATATAAAACGAACATGATACTTGAATTTAAAAATACTTGAATGGTGCTGCCATCTAGTAGCAGCAATTAATAATTCCTACATGCGCAGTGGGAAGTATTTGGTCCCACCTTTTAATTTCAACCATTCTTAGTTAATATATATGAATTTAAATATTTTTTTTTAAGAAAAGGAAACTTTCACATAAAAATATTCATTCTAACACCAAAAGTTGCTTTAAAAAAAAACTGCTTCAAAATTAGACCTGCAAAGAATTTTTATTTTACATTATTTCCATGAATGAATACTAGTGCTGCCCTCTGTTATACATTTAGAGAACTAAAAGGTGTAATTGTATGTATTTTAAATGGAATTTTGCAGCTTTCATCTGGGAGATAAAAACTGATAGAAAAGGTGGGACGCTCATCAAAGGGTTAAAGATGACAGCTCAGCTTCATCCATTGATGTTGGCCGCACAGTGATGTGACACAGCTCTAGAAGTCATAGCCTATCTAGTAACATTTTCGGATTTTTCTCTTCACAAAATAGAAGGAAGTTGAGAAACCTCTGAGGAAAATACAGGAGAAAACAACTACTGAGTCTTCGTCTAGTGCTTGGGCATCACCTATCATTTTGGAAAGATAGATGGCTCCACGGGATTTTGTGTTGACTACAGACACCTACACGATATTACAAAGAAAAGTTACCCTTTGTCCAAAACTGTTGACACTGCATGCATGCTATCAGGGAATAAATGGATTTTCAATCCAGATTTGAAGAACTGCTAAGTGGAAATAGATCCTAAAGATTGAATGAAGACTGCACTTACTACCAGTCAAGGACTCTGGCAGTTTAAAGGAATGCCTTTCGGACTGTGTAATGATTCAGCAACATGTAAACATCTAATACACAAAACTGAAAGGAACCTCATACGAACATCACATTTTGAAGATTCACATCCATCACATTCATTATTATAGTCAGAAGCAATTTTGTAGAACCCTTGGGAATTATCAGAAAAGTGCTACAAAAACTCAGGCTAATTTAGAGCTTGATCATTTGAAATGCAAATTGTTTCATTAAGAAATTAGCTATCTTGGTCATATTGTCTCTGCTGAAGGTGTACATACATTGTGAGAAAATCACGGTTGTTCATGATTGGTGTTGCTTTTTATCATTTAAGAAGTTTTCTCAGATTTAGAAAAGCAGATTTTTTAGCCCTATAACTTATTTTTTCTGAAGCTTCAGAAGACTATGCATATACTATAAGGCTCCGAAAGTTAAAATGAACTAGTTATTAAACAGCTATGAGAGTTAATGGTTAAAAGAGATTTAGCTGATCACCATTTTAGCTGACTCGCATTTAAGAGTTTAATCTTTAGTGATTTGGGGAACTTAACACGTTGAGCGCCAAGCGTATTTCTTAGGCAATCCCGTTCAGGCCATGTGTGCCACTTAAAAGCGCTGGCATTGTAGGGCCAGCGATTCTTATCGCAGTAGAAGATAGTTTACGTTTGGAACATGATTCCTATAGGTATTCATTCAACACATTACGCTCCAAGTCTGTTTTGTAAATAGTTACATTCTATGCAAAGATATTACGAAGCAGATAATTAGCATTACTGAAGTCCGGAAAGAATTAGCACTATCCCTTACAAGTTGTGAAAATGAAGATATTCCATCGAACAGAAATGCAAAAACATCTAAAAAACGACAGCATAAACTAAAAAAAAACCGGAAAAAGCCTCTGAAGTACGGAAATATTGTACACTATGATAAAAATGCAACTGAAGCTGGTAGAGTAATGGAAAGAAAAAAGACTAAGACAGTTGTCACAATTTGTAATAGCTGTAATGGAGAACTGTGTTTCAATGAAATCCATTAGACATGTAATGAATCACAATTAAGTAAATTTTAAATAATTTTTCTGTAATTCCATAAAACAGTGTAAATAATATAGTTATATATCATGTCACACGCTGTCAGCCAGCAGCGGTCGACGCGGCCTAAACAGAAATTCTAGTGTCAGCCACGGATGGCTGAAACGGCCTAAACGGAAAGTCTAGTGTCAGCCACAGATGGCTGACATGGCGCTCAACGTGTTAATGATATTTTTTGCATGCTAAGGAGAAACTGCTTTATCCACACTCTCCTTGAACTACTTACAGCTATTTTGTGCTGAAAGACATTATTATCTGTAATATATTTTCAATTTCTTCTTCAACATCCAGAGTGATTATTTAAGGAGATAGCCATGAATCTGCAGCCAAGAACATTTGTTTAAAATAAAAATATTCCCCCCCCCACATTATCAATTATATTTATGTCAGAGAAGATTAAGCACTGATTAAATAATGTTAACTGCATAAATTTATTTTCAAGATTTACAAATGTCTCGCCTCTATGGCAAATTACTTTATAGCAGATCCTTAGAAAAGGCATAAATTAATAACAAGAGATATGACAGCATTTTATACACAGAGGATTGTAAACAAAGAATACAGATATTACCACTACTACAGTATTAAGAAATAGTTATGAATCATCATATGCAAATGATAAATTCTAAGGGGGGACACAATAATTATCGATAATTATTGCTCAGTATATAAAAAAAGAGGAGGGAAAAAAATTTTGCTGACATATGGAGGAACAGAAATTAAAATGCTTTGCTAATAAATGTTATCAAATCTCAACTTTATAAAACCCTCCTTAAAAGAAAATAACTAATTTAAAATAGTTTAAAAAAATTACAGATATTAAAAATAAATAAATATTACAGTAATAATTATTTACATATTCTGAGAAAAATTTTCTTTTTTGTTTAATTGTTATGCATCATAAACTGAAAATCTTTTCTCAGATAGCAAAAGGTATGCTACTACCTTTCACTAAATCAACTGGGAAAACATCCATTTTTTCAATACGCTTCTCCAACTCGTATTCAGCTGAAGCAGCTACTGGATCCACATCATCATTGTGACGATCATAATCATCCACAGAATATGTACTATATACCTAGTGAAATATACAAAATTTGTTTAGTTAAACTAACATGAGAAATAATTTACATATTTTTCAATGTTTTAATAAATTCATGTAAGAAACCACTTTAGCATTTCTTCAAAAGAGATAAAATATCAAAAAGTAGAACTGAGAAATAACTATGAAATAATACTGACTACAGAAATAACATAAAAAGATTTGGACAACAATTACCTTGATGGGCTCATAATTAAATCTGACTTTTGTCTTCTTTTTTGGTGGTACAGGACAAAAGATATCTTCATCTTCACTTTCCTCCTCCAAAGCAGGCAATTCAGTAACAAAATGACCATCAGGTAAGATATGATAATTAACATCTTCATATAAAACATTAGTACCAGGAGGAAATGCAATTGTTTGTGAGCAATTTTCACTTCCAAGGTCATCTTCATCTATTTCACCTGTTACAGAATTAGGAACAGACCAAGTCTCAGACTGATCACTATCCACATTTTGAGAGTTTATAGTACTTTGTAGATCATGCTTGTCTTTGCTAACATCCTTGGGCCTACACAGAAAAGAAGAGTTTTTTTAACTTCTTATACAACAATACACACACATACACAACAAAAAACAACAACAAAAAAAAAAAAAAACTCTTTATTCAATCTCGTGTGACACAACTAGAATAACATTATGCTAACAGAGTAAAATTACTTGAAGATCCTGCAAAACTTGTTAAATATATACTTTTTATTAACTCAGTACATTGGCTAAAAAATATCTATATACGAGAAATCATCAACGAAATATACGAAATTCATCAACCTATTTGTTACTAACAAGTGGAACAAAATGTCGGGTTTTAACGAAAGCTTCTCGCCACCACAAATATTATCTCCTCAAACAGTTCATGTTGGGATGCTTAGTCATATTTTGTCTAATGACTTTTGGCATTTGAAAGAAAGAGACTTGCTTTAGAACACTGTATGGTGAAATTTGTACAAAAATATTGTTATCATTACTGAAATGGAACTATCGCACTACCAGATTAGAACCATCATTTACTTCCAGTTGCAAAACATCAGCCACTGAATGTTACCAAATCACATGTACAGCTTTTGGTACTTTATTGTATCATATGACATTCTGAATATTTGGTAGCGAAAATTCAAAAACAAGGACTATGACATTCAACAAGCAAAGCACTCTGGCCAGCCTATTGATGGTGATAAGGCCCGCCCGCAAGAACTTGTGGAAGAAGATCAGTATGCAACCAATCAAGAGCTTGCTAAGAAGTTAGATGTTAGATGCATTGCATAAACTTGATGTACAAGTTCAATTTTTGGGTGCCACACGAGCTGAGTCAAGCAGACAAGGACAGATGTTTTCGGGCCTGCACTAATTTGCTTGAATATCAATGTAAGGACAAAATTCTGGACCAGATTATCACTTGTGATATGAAAAGGATTTACTCCAACAACACAGGCTGAAAAGGGGGTTCTACTGTGCCTGGTCAGCCTGTCGGCAGCATCGCGAAGATCAATTTGACTTACAAAAAGATCATGCTTTTCATCTGATGGGATTTGCCATGGTATTATCCCCAAAGAATATCTTGAAAAAGGTAAAACCCTCAGCAGCAAGCTGTACAGTGAGATGCTAGTCCATGTTGACGCTGATATCAAGGAAAAATGTCAAACTCAGTTCCGGCACAAAAAGGTAATGTTCCATCAGGGTAATGCAAGACCACATGTGTCTGCATTCACCGGCTGGAATCTGAACAGACTCGAAATGGGATCATTTCCTACACCTATCATTATAAGACACAACATCACTCCTTCGGACTTCTACATTTTTTCATATCTGCAGCTAGCTACATCTTGCTGGTGCTAACTTCCATTCTGCACAGGATGTCTGAAATGCAGTTGATCTGTTTTATGACTACCAAGTTTCTGTGCTGAAGGCTTTGAAAAAGTAACAAGATGTTGGCAGAAAATCAAAGATTTAGATGGTGATTACTACCTGCACTAAAGGTACTGCTTCTTATGTTTTCTTTTCTAACTTTATTAAGAATGTTTCTTGATAGAAAACTTTCATTACAAGCAGATATTTTCCATGTGCAAAAATTATTTATCAGGAACATATGTACCATGTATAAAATCCCAAATGTAGTATTTAACTAACCTATATGCACGACAAATTATTACCGGAACATTTCAGTACTAATAATAAATTTAAACATATAAATACATACAATATATTACTTGTTGATAGAATTCATCCAGAAATTTTCTCATAGATGCTACTATTAGTTTGAACTACTGTTGGCCACAAAGCAATTATTCAGCAGCAGTAAATGCTACAGTATAACTTTCATGTTTATCAATGTGTATACAGACATATGATAGTTCCTCAAATACAAATGTACATTGCAGCCAATGGCAACCTTTTTGAACATACTCAATATCAACTTCTAAGCACTGCAAGTTCACTCTCATGTTTTGTTTTATTGGCTGATGTTGCATGTTATATTAGCATAATATGCATTGTTAAACCATTAATTAAGATTTTTGCACTTATGCCTGCATCTTCTTTGCACATACATTGCAATGAAGAACAGTCACCTGATCGCTCTTACAGATGATTTACTTGTTAATGTATAACATAAAAACATAAATGATGCCAGTGTTCATTCTCAGAATATCTTAAACTATATTTATGAATGGTCAAAATTTTATGAGCTTGAATTTAATCGTTTAAAATTGAAAATTATTATTAAGTATAGCATTGTTCATATACATCCAACCAGTGCAGTGTTATTTTCCCTTTAGTTTTGCTTTGAGTAGCAACAGTTGTACAACGTTATATCTTGGTAGAATAAACATGTTTAGTTATGTTTAAAATTTTTATAGAGATTATTTAGGTAGAATGAGTTTTATATGAATGGACAAAGGTAACATTTATGACGTATAACATTTGAAAAATAAGTGATTTAAGTTGAGGCGACTTTATCTAAGAAATACTTAATTGAATTTTTGGTTTTGGTTTGCAAGAAGCGATAGCTCTTAAGAAAATTGTTTACTAAGACATATAAAAGTTTAATGTCTCTGCTTGATGATGAAAATATAGAAATTAGTGATGTTAAGATTAAATTAGCTACTTAAGAATGCATTAATGCTGATTTAATGATTCTTGACAACAAATTTTGAAAACTTGCTTTAAGTGCAGAACGAATTTGAATCTGTAGAATATAGTCAAATTTGATGAAGCTATAGTTTGCATCAATTCATTTATAGAAAGTAAATCACAACCAAACAGGAATATTAATTAATGAGAAATCAAAAATAAAACTTCCCAAACTTGAACTAAAGAAATTTAGCCGTGAAGTTAAAGAATGGTTGCATTTCTGGAGTCAGTTTAAACGAATTCACAATCATAAAGAAATGGAGTTGGAAGACAAATTCCAATATTTAATACAATGCATGTCACCAGGTACAAGAGGGAAAGACATCACCGGTAGCTATCCACCCACGGCAGAAAATTATACAAAAGCAATTGAAAGCCTCAAAGCAAGATTTGGCCATGAGGAATTGTTAGTGGAATACTATGTTCGTGAACTATTAACTTTAGTTGTTAAAAATGCTACCAAATCAAGGCTTGAAATCACTCTGTTATATGAAAACTGATCTCACTCAGCAAGGAATCCATGGGATGACCTCAGACAAATATTCTGCAATGCTCTTCCCACTTGTGGAGTCATGTATTCCAGAAGACATGTTGACAGTTCAGTTGAGAAACTCAGTAAATGAAGAGAAATTATATAGTGCAAGACTGACCCAACTTTTAAATTTTCTAAGGGCTGAAGTCGAAGAGGAAGAAAGAATGTCTCTAGCAAAGTCAGGTATGAAGCACAATGATCCCTACAGAAAACATTCATAAGGACAGGGAAGATATTACTGTACCTACTGCAAACAACTTGTTTTCGGGAGCAAAAGAAATAAATAACAATAATGTAATAAATTGTCTATTCTGTGAAAAATCTCATGAAAGTAAAGATTGCTACAAAGCACAAAAGTTAAGTCATGATGAAAAATTGAAAATTGTGAAAGAGAAAAAATTTTGCTTTACATGTTTAAACAAACCATCGAGCTAATAATTGTAAAAGCAAAGTTGTATGCATGTTTTGCGATAGGAAGCATTACATCATTTGTTGTCCAGAATTTAAGCAGAAATCAAAAGTTTCTGTTGAGTGCAATCAAGAAAATTGTGAAATTAGCGCTCTTTCTTCAACATGTACTTCAGGAAGAGTTTTGCTTCAAACATTAATGGTTGCCATTTAACATGAAGGAAAGAAACTTCATCTCCGAGTTTTGATTGATACTGGATCTGAATATTTTATGTTTTAAAATCAACAGTAGAATCCTTAGGAATAAGATCAGAAGCTCATAAAAAATTAACACACGTTCCTTTCGGAGGAAGGACATCTGATGGAATCATAAATGTTGTGAATCTGACAAGGTTTAAGTTGCAAGATTCTGTTTTAGATCAGCCTATAATTGTGATCCTTCCTAGCCCAGAAGGACCTCGGATATCAGAATTAGCGCGAAGGGGAATTCTATTCAAGATGTTGATTGTGTCAATCCGCCAATTGATCTTTTAATAGGGTTCCGACTGTAGAAATCTTGATACAGGAAAAATACAGAAATTAAGTACAGGCATTTTTGCCATGGAAACACTGCTCGGATGGGTTCTGATGGGTAAATCGCCAACAACTGGAGGTGCTACTGCTGCTGTAGTTACCTCTCTCTCAGTTCACAATCAAGAGATCAGAAACCTCTGGGAGTTAGAAGCCATTCGCATTACAGATCCCTTTGAATTGAAATCTAAAAGTGCAATTGATAAGGTCGTACGTGATCATTTTATGGCAAATTTAAGAGAAGATGAAGGGGCTGACAATTTAAAATGTTTAAAAGGTCAAGAAAAAGAAGTACCAAAAGATGATAAGAGAGAAATGTCTTTTTTTGATGATGTTTAGGAATGATCCACGCCTGGATGAGAATAAGAAATTATTAAGAGATTTTATTTTAGACAAGAAGTGTAAAGAAAAATATAAAAATGATGACATTCCAACTTATGAAGAAACAGATATTGCAGTACTAAATGATGATGATAATGATATGAAAAGGCAAGAATTGTTTCAATGTAAGTATATGTTCGGATTTGAAGAACCAGATTCAAAATTCATTAAATGATATCCAAGAATGATTGAAGGTTCTCTTACACGTGTTGATAATAAAAGAAAGAAGCAGCATGAAGAATACGTTAAAAGAAAAAAAGGGGAAGAAAGAGCAGAAAAGAGAAGATCTAAAATATTTGAAACATTTAAAGAGAAAAGAACTTGAAGAAAAGTTTTTAAAATTGAAGAGGTGCCTCATCAAGATGAATTGAAACTTAATGATGATGATATTGAAAGCGATTTTGACCCTGAAAAACATGACCAGAAAATGAAAGAGCTTTTTAATG